CATGATTAAAATTCAAAATACCATGTGAAAGGTGTTATACGCAAAGCCAGTAACATACATCGTAGTTGGTCTTTCATATCTCCTCAATTGTTTATAAACTTTTTGACTATGCTTGTTAAAAATGGTCAGACGACCAAATAGATTTTTGGCCCACGTGTACCTCGCAAGGTACTTGATTTTGCGTGTTCCAATTAAAATTTATAGCGTTGCACGGTGTTCCAAGACCTTGTTTACTATTCTTCTCTTTTTTATTTCTCTACTTTTGCGTTGATTTTTTTTTTTTAGTTTGTAAATTCTTTTTTTTTTTTTCATTTTTACTGAGTTTAAATAACATTATTAGAATACGTAAGTTAGGAAGTTTTTCAAAATGTTTTATTTTCTTAATAATATTATTAACCCGTAAAATCCTGCAAAACAACTCTAATGGAACTCTAGATGTGTCATTGATTTTTTTTTTTTTTTTTTTTTTTTTTTTTTTTTTTGAATACGTAATAATATTGATAAAGCGCGCGAGTACGAAAGCGATGGCCGTTTACGTGACAATTATTTTATTGCCCAATAAATGCGACCAATTATCTTGAAGTTAAGTTAAAAGTGCTTGGGCATCGATCAAACGGGAAATGACCTTCTTCCATCAGATTTTCACTAATCTCTCGGTACTTTATAATCCGAAAAAAAATTAAATAGCGCAATTGGATTCGGTTAGTTTACATTAAAGCACTTCGATCATATTCCGCGCACGATACATGTATACACGCGTAACGTGGCCGTGTTCCATCGGAGTTCTTTCGCTGGACAACCATGACTGCCGTCAAAAATTGAGTTGAAGTAGACTTAGAGATCCCGCAATAGGCTAATGACATGTTTTCATCTGAAATTGTGCTGCTTTGAAATCGGCTTTAAAGGTGCGTGGGGAAAAAGCCCGAGCCGATGATCTTCTGCATGACGAGCAACTCGATAAACACGACCTTCGTCATCGAGTGCTGCAAAGAGGATTATTGTAATCGCGGCGTGAAACCCCAGCTTCACCCTCGGAACAAAGAAGGTACAGTGTGCTGCTGCTGCTACTTCGAGTTAGCACTTACTTAATCAGAGACCATTATAATTCCTCGGAGATGGCACCGGGCTCCTCTCGCTTACTCTTCTTCATTAACCGCCTTGTAGTTTTTACTCAACTTCTCCTCTGTCATTCATTTCATCTTCGTTCCAATGTCCAAGTGTACGTCGTATCGTTTCTATTAACAAAGATAGTCGTGACGCTCCTCTTTATTCTTGAAGCTAATCGATAATTATTACTTACTCCTCGATCTCACGCGCACGTCTTTTTTCTCCTATTTTTCATCTTCCTCTTCACCTCGGCTTCTTCACGGCAAATCTACATTCAATTTTCTACATTACAATTCTCTCAATATATGTATATATATATATATATATATATATATATATATAGAATGTTTATATTTACAATACAAAGGAGTCTGAAACGTCGGAAAGCCGTCTCGTGCCGTTCCACTCCATACAACGCTGCATACGACCCTCACGGCTCCCCACCCCTCATCACGTAACACTCTCCCTTCAGTCATCACGTGTTCACACCTACTCGTAATTGTTCTCTACGGTTTATCGGCTTTTTGCGTGGCCTCCCAACCTCTCGCAGAATAAATACGCCAACAACCCTAATTTATCCCGATAAATTATGGAAATTTTGCGAACGTGCTCGTGTATCAACATCTCGACGTTCTTACCATAACTTGACGACGAGCTTTCGACGAGTGCTTTTGCCCAAGTAAAGCATGGCTATGAGCGCCTCACTCTCTCTCTCCTTCTCTCTACGCTCTTCCTCCTGGCCGTGAGATCTTATAAAATATTCGAGCTCAGTTATCGATGTGGGATCCAGGAACGCTGGATAGAAGTATAGTGTGAGTGCCTCGATGGTTAATGGTGGATCATCGATTATTAAAGGCCCGATTAGAATGTCGGCGTAATACCCCGAGATCCATCTTAATCGATCTATTAATTCAATTGCATTAAAGTGTTTAGGAAAACGCAATTCTGTATACATTGCTCTTAAACGACATTATGCCATCATCCGAGGAATTAAAACAAATGCTCTCTTTTTCTATTTATATATGAAAATCTTTGCTTACCGGGAGAAGTAAAGTTATGTAGATTCTTAAGCCTCGATATCAGCATGTCGCAGTCTTTATACGCTCGTATATGTTCACCTATTGTACTATATACATTTAATGTTTAAATCTCGATCTTTTCTTCTTATTTCCCGTTATTTTACTTCCTATCGCTCAGCCTAAACATAAGTAGATTGGAACGACAGCACAATGCACTCGCAAGCGAATTGACACGCATCAGTAGGTCATTCCCTTATGTAAATATGGTTTCTTTCCTTTATTTAATTCACGTGGCACTCCACGCCTGTATGTGTGTGCATATATATATATATATATATATATATATATATAAATATCAGCTGTGATCGGTAATTTATTATTTCATTGCTTTATGCGCAATCTTCGTATTTAATGTTTAATTTTGATTATTATTTTTCGCATTATCATTCGGGCAAGCCGTGAGCTGTAAATTTGAGAATGTAATTTATTAAACAGATTGTTAATGAATTCGTTATAAATATTATACATGTGTTGTTTACAAACTTTTTCAAACACAGTTTATACTTAATAATAAAAATATAATGCTATTATCTAAACTTGAGAAAAATATGGATTAACATTGTTTATCATCAAATGTAAATTAATCTTTCGATTTATGATATAAAAAGTAAAATTGAGTTGTATTTATAGCATATTTTTATTTTGTAACAAATTTTGTGTATTGTTTTTTCTTTCCAATATTTATAAAATTTATATACTAATAACACGGTGTCAATTAAAATCAAATACGAGAAAAAGCAAAAATTCGAGTTGCATAAGCAAAAAAATTGTTACTAATAGCTTTCCCCCTACGCATGCGTTTATCTTTGTACATAATAGTATTGTAATCCTAATATTCAAGTATATTTAGAATATTAAAATAACGCTCGATTTTCAAAACTCTCGCTTGGTTGTTATGTATATAGATATGAGGAGGCTCGACTCCTCGTGCGATATAAATTATTTTCTCTCTCTCTCTCGCTCTCTCTCTCTCTCTCTCTCACTCTTTTTTTCTCGCTCAGTTTATCTCACTCCGTCCTCCCCCTTCTCCCACTTCCGCTCACTAGCTCTCTGTCTCATCTCTATTTGACCTTTTCTTTTGTAAGAGAAGAAAAGAGTTGATGAGAAGATCAGAGTCGACGTCAGCTCTCAATTTAATTTGAATCATTTTTCTTCCAACATATACAATCAGTAGCCCATTACATCTATATATAATATATTATTCGCTTATCCTGCGCTATTTCTATCTCTCTTATCCCTGTCTCGCTATATTTATCATTTACAGATAGAATTTTAGTCTTTTTAATCAATTTTTTCTTATCTAATACGTTTGCCAACTTATTATCAGTAGTAATTTTTTTTTTTTTTTTTTTTTTTTTTTTTTTTTTTTTTTTTTTTAATAAACAATTCGAGGATATTCTAGCTATCGATATTTCTTTAATAAATTTTAAATATATGTATATACGTGTATATATCTTTATATATACATGATTGCATATATATGCAAAAGTATGTGAAAGTATGTTTGTATGTATAGAAATATCTTTCCCATATTTTTATCATAATTTTTATGACCTTGAATTACTTGCTTAATGCCAATTTTATAGAATTATTTACTTGGGTATTAATCAATTTTAATTAAAAAAATTGATGTGATATGGATTTCGACACGACATAAATAATTAATAATTAGTTTTGAAACGGCGGTAAGCACACGTATGTATGTGAATAATATGGACTAAATTTAAATATTAATTTCATTGCTATTAATTAATCAGTTGTACTTTTAAATTCAGAATTTTAATATGAATTTTATATAACGAATAACTTTAAAGTTAAGCTTCTGTCAAATAAAAAAATCAATTTTTAAATATCTTTTATCAATGTATAATATATATATATATATACAATGGCATTTCTGTAACACTTTTGTAAATGCAACTATTTAATTTTTAATTATATCTCATAGATGTCCAATGCGAGTTCATTAATATGCTTATGATTTGCCGAAAGTTATTTCGTAATTATATAACAGATGTGTTACAGTCATGCTTTTACCATTGGCCTGAATGAATTTTTACATTAATTTTACATTTATACCTTATGTTATTATATTGGTAAAAGCATAAATATGAAAAATACAGTATGAAATTAATTTTGATAGTCTAACGAACTATCTATTTTATAAATTATCTATAACTTATCGACATAACATTGACGACATTCAAGAATTTACAGAATTTACAAAAAATTTGAGTATTGTTTTCCTTTATTGGCACATTTTCTCCGTAATTTGTCGATGAAATATATACATATATATATATATATATATATATATATATATATATATATATATATGTATATATATAATGAGTCCAAATATAATTACCCTTATTCTTAACAGTTAAGAATAGCTGCCCCGACCCCGCCCCGCCCCAATTATGTCATCAAAATATTACAACAAGTATGTCGCTGCCGGGCGCATAACACGCGTTTATCGGCAATGTATATATATAAATTAAAAGCAACGTGCACGGAAACTCGTTGCCTATGACCTGTCTAATCAAAAGCAAGGGTAAGTAGTCTCGGTTTATCAACAATCCTTTATCACCCGGTATTTCTGTAATATTGCTATCCCCAGCCAATCCGAATCAGCCGATACTCGGAACAACACCCCAACATCGCGGCTCTCGCTCCACCATTATCCATCCTTCGATCAGCTTCTCCTCGATCCTGCCTGCCGCTCCACCATCCCCTCTACCCAATCAACCCCCTTCCCTCCATCCCCTCCCCCCCTCCCAATCCCGCCACACACTTAAAACGAACTGTTCCCAGGTGTTACAATAAGGAGCACTTCTTTCCGGATCCCATGTACTCGGTGTGGTGCAGCAGCAGCGAAGCCCTGCGCGGCACAGGCGGCACAAAATTCGTCGTGACGTGCTGCGATCACGCGGATTACTGCAATCGCGATATCAAGGCGCACCTGCCCCCGACAATATCGGCCGCTCAGACCTCCTATCGCACCACGCATCGCCTCGAAGGAGGTACGCGAGCTTTCCTCCCACACTGGGCCGTCGATGAGGAAGGCCTGTGAGATGTACGACGGGATTGGGACGGTTTCGTGCATTGTGTTTACCCATCCTCAGGGGGTTTCGCCGCTACGAAGGTCCGATTTTACGCTTATAGATGCCCCTCCCTACCTCGAGTATTGACGGTGGAACTGGCCTTTTGGCCCTCGTTATTGCTAACGCGATTGCGGAAAGTCATGTGGAATATTGATCGTCGCGAGCTTTATGATATCGCGGAGTCGTACGATAAGCGATCGTGCTATTTTTTCAATATTTTTTCAATGTTTTTTCAATGTTTTTGCAATGTTTTTGCAATGTTTTTGCAATGTTTTTGCAATGTTTTTGATACATAGTGGGAAGATCGTTTGAGCGCGTACCAATGCTTTTACATATAACGAAGAGCGACGAATCGTTTTAAAGGATATCGCAACGGGCATTACATGCTTTTAATAATGCTTACAAATTATTTTTTCTCGCCCACGTCGTTCTCGCTCTACACGCAGCATCGATTTCTCTGATTTTCGTCTCATTCAGTTGGCCGTGATGTTATTTGTTTGTAAGAGCTCGCGGCGAGTATGTGACGGAATGGCGTCTGAATTATATTAACGTAGCGTTCGATTATATATATATATATATATATATATCGTAGAAATTTTCGACAATATCATTCGTACTGGCGTTTAAAGTAATGTGCACTTGGCGTAGAATTCGATCTTCGCAATCTATATTAAGCAAGAAATGTTCGATGGCGCAAGAATGACCTTCGTGGCGGCGAATTCCAGCGTTGTGTTTGTACGTTAATAAGGACGCGGAAGACAATAGGGGTTCAATTTTCACGTGAAGATGCTTTTGTGGATCGTTTTGGGGTCGCTCATTGTTAGATCTTACGCAACGTACGTGTTTTATACAGAATGTCACGGTGTTCTTTGTCTTCATTCACATAAACTTGTTTTTTTTTTTGTTTCTTTTTCGCTCATACAATCGTCGTGCCGGCGAGAGGCCACAAAAATGAACAACGAATATTATAACGCCTATATATAAAGGAAAAGACTCACTGGATCGTCGTTAAAACTACTTCGCAATAAAAAGATATGAGTAATCCAGGATTTTATTGAGCAAAAACCAATAAAACTATATAACGGCGCACGCATTCACTATCTATTCACGAATAATGCGGTATTTTATGATTTTCAATCTCCTGCCCAATTTGCTACTTTAAATTGAGCCAAACTTTATATTGATAAAGTGAAAGGGACAAAATTTAAGTATAAAAAAATAATTTGAAGCGTCAGTCAAACGTCTAATATTTCACGTCGATGTATTAAAGGCACAACTTTCATCGTACCTAATATTAGGCTGACAGTAGGCTTTTGAGAGATTAACTTCAACAAATACATATTTATCAATAAATATAAAGTATAATTTAACAATGCTGCAAATCATATAATTTATATAACACTTGTCAATTTACTCAATATAATATTCGTATTGTTATTGAAAAATAAGCGAGAAATGTATAGGCGATTTAATAGTACGTAATTTACTTATGCATTTTCTGACGATTCGAAATTCACTGGCTATTTCCAACAAATTACAATGTATTCGCTAAATTCCCTCCCCCTTCGCCCTGCCCCCTGCTTATACGCGCAAAAAATACAGATATTTTCTCATAAGAAATTCGTATCCGTAATATTTGTTATCAATGCGGTACATACTTTTTATAGCGCTTTCTCTTCTTACCTTCCCTTCTTTGACTTTAGTCTCCATAAAGGCAGGCATCGGTGTGTTACATAAGACGTAATATTTCGCTTGTTTATGATCTCTTAGTTCTTCTGCGCGCTTACACGCACACACATTCTAAAGAATGGCCGAATAGTACCAAGAAAAAAATTAATATCATGGGTGGCTGAATAGTCGATCGAAAAAGAGAATTATTGGCGCTCGAATGATATATTTCGCTAATGCTTAGAACTAAATATGAAAACCGAAGAGGCGCACTTTTATTATGATCAATATTTACAGTGACTTTCAATCTAAAATATTTATGTGTCTCAACTATTTCAATAAATTCAATTCTCTTTTTAATAAATAGCCTTACTTGAAACAATTTGGAAATTGACAAAATCTGGCATGTAGGCATTTTTTTTTTTTTTTTTTTTTTTTTAATTATCTTATCGGTATAATTATTAATTGACGAGTTCTTTAGCCCTTTAATATCAAATTTCAAGAGAATACCTTTATAATTGGACTCGATCAATGCAATTGATAAACAACTACCGCTATTATATACCAAAAATTCAATCCCTACGTACGAGCAGAGTCAACAAAATAATTGTTATATCTGATATTAATTATCAAAAGCTATGCAGCAAATTCTCTCTATTTATTTTCTTGGAAAACAAAGCTATTTATTCTGGAAGCCATAAAAAATCTTTCAACACCCGTTGGACATTTTTGCGCGAAACTGTACACCAACAGCTAATACATGCTGGCGTATAATGTAGATGACCTGTACGTGCGTGTGGTCAGTGACGCATTCGTTGCGAACGGAAACCACCGAATGATCCTTTAATTCAAGCCGGCGAATTTCTTCGTAGAAAAAGCGAACGTGATGTTTATCATCGATGCCGGCATTATTCTTTTAATACTATTGAGCGTTCACTTTGTATTTGGGATATTTTCAAAACGTGGAAGTCTACGCTAGTGAGTGCTAAATGTCACGGGTGTGAAAATCATATTTTTATTGAACGAGCGTTGAATAATGCAGTTGAAAAGCCAATGAGTCAGAGTAAGTTTATGCGTATAAATGTCTTATAAATAATTTTGGAAGATTTTCTCGATTTCCATCGAAGCGGGGAGTATGGACGCAGCTGACCTTCGATGTACACAGGAAATTGTCGTAAATGTAGGTCGGAATTTAAGAGAGTTACACCTAACACATGCAGGATACATCACGATATCGACCACGGATATAGAGAAACTTAAATTATTTCAACAAAAGCGCTTAAATTACATTGGACTTTTTAGTCTCATTTGTTATATTACATGGAAATACTTATTAAAAGAAATTGTAAAATTTATTCTGTAGGTAGATTTACAATCGAAATGTTTCTTCAATTAAAAATGACTGTAAGAATATCTTGAATCTTGATCTTGTTCCAATAATATTTATCTAAAAATTATCTCAATACATTTTCACGTCAACATCGCATTTAAATTTAGTGTTGATGTATTTAGGTAAATAATGTTTGTAGCGGACAGGCAAAATATACTGTAAAATGTGAGCGAACGTTGTCCTTTAAACGTATCGGAATCTCTTATTCCCCATTTAAATTCATCATAAAACGTGAGAACTTTATATGCGAATATTTCAATTACGCAGCATTAATGTGGCGACAAGATGATATGCGTAAGAAACGTGCGTGTGTTGAATTAGTAGATTGCCCTAACTATAATTCCTTTAATTTTTTTAGGTACTACGTGAATAAGTTCATAGTTACAACATTGATAATACGAAATTACCGAGAACTAAATTACTGTAAGCGTTAAGTTTATTTTTTTTTATCTAAAAATGCCTGACGTACCGACTCCAATGTATTCTTAATTACCGTATAATTGAATTAAGTGGAGTACTAATTAAATATTAGGTTGTCTAAATTTTCAACTTTTTACAAAATGTTCACAATTTTCTTTTCCGACCATCATTAAATTTGCTTAATGAGCATTTCTTTGCTTTTATTCGTTTCTTACAATTAATTAATTAATTAATTAAACAAATTCATTGTTAAATTATTAAGAACCATTTGTTTAGTAGACATAAAATATTTCTAATTTTCAAGCATTTGTAAGGAACAATAGTTTTTCCTTTTATTTCATTGTATAAAGTATAATAATTATTATGAAGCATTCCGGAAAAATCGAGTAAATTTTATCAAGTCATATTGTTAGAACTATAGTAGTTCGTTATAATTTTCTAAAGTGCGAAAATGAAGAAAGCAACAGGTAGTGTGAGATAAAGCTTTTTGAGTGTGCCTCAGTCGAGGAAAGTTGATAAGGTGAGGAAAGTAAAACAGAATAGCACTTACTAATTTGCATGAATCGACGAATAATTAATTTTAAATACGCGGTGAATCAAGTCGTAGCCAAGTCCAACGGACATAATTGTTCTAACGATGAGAAAATTAATGCTGTATAGGTAGTTAAACGACAAATTGTTGCTTTAACATGCAAATAATAGCCACGAGCATTGACTCGTATCGAATTGATAGACGACATTCCGAAGTGTTGCCGAGGAATGTTATTCGATTGTAGCAATTTTATCATATATTTCTATGGTGCGTTAGAGCTTTTCAATTTTAGTTCATTTAACTCCTTGAACTCGTTCATACTTCTCTGATTAGCTACAATGAAGTTCGTTACGAAGTCAGTAAATTTGTGTGGCGCAGCTATATACGTTGAAAATGCTATACTTGTGATTTATATATACACGCACACGCGCAAACATACGTTTCAAGGCAGCGTGACTATCATAGTCTGCACAGCTCAAACATAAGTCGATTTAAGTGAAGAAGTTTTGAACAAAGTTTTCGAAATAACAATAAGTCAGAGGATATCAGTCAGTAGCAGGTGAATAACGAAGATTATTACGTTAATACGCGATAATTACTCAGGAATAGTTAATAATATAATACATTTAGACATTATAATACAGCATAAGCTGATTTTTATATAAAAAATCGAATTTATATTGTATATATTCTATATATTGTGTATCGTTTGATCGACATTTTCTACAAATGTGTAGCTTTGTAACTGTACTATTAGAAACTGTATTATTGTACTGTACTATATTATTTAGAAAATTTCGGATTCTTATTATTAGTAAGCTAACAAAAGGCAATTGTAAGGAGTAAAATTTTTATATTAATATCATTGTAATATTAGAATTTTAATATTGAAACATTTATGATATTCGT